GTTGTTATAAATCTCAATGGAACATTTTGGAAGTATAGATACTTTTGTAATCCAATCTTCAATAAATGCATTTAGTTGTCCTATAAATATATAATAATCGAAATCTTTGTTTGGTGACATCCAGAGGCAGATGTAGACATTTTGAATTGGGGCAGAACAATCAAATCATGTACAAATCGAATATTTTGTTCTTGATTTTTGAATGATTCATACTTGATCCGATAAAATGCAGATGTACATTTAAAAAACATTTCTTCATTAATAATTTTCTCTACTTGATTTCTAACGGTCATTTTATTAATATTTTTTTCGTCACAAGAAAATGCATATTTATATTTTAAAAATTTATAGTGTTTCTGATACAAACAATCAATTCATGTAATTGAAATGAAAAACATATAATCAATATTCAATACTAATAATTAATCAAATAAATATAATTTGTTAAATATAAGTCAAATTGGATATAATGAGTTCACACACATTCAATATACACAATTTAATATGAGAAAATGCAAATTTAGGTTCTAATTAATTGAAAATTTGATTGGAAAGTAAAGATTTGTAGTAAATGTGATAATTTGTAGATAAATTATATATAAATTTTAAAAAATTAGAAGGGTTTATGTTTTGATAAAAGTCATGAGGAAGAGAGTAAGAGAAAAGAGAATTTTGTCCCCGTTTGTGGGAATTAAAATCAGATTTTTAGTAAATTTTGATAGAATTTAAAAAGTTATGGATTTTATAAAATATGTTATTAAAATTAATTGTTAACTTTGATTTAATTAAAATTTAGATTTCAATCGATATTAAACAGGACTTTATAAAAAAAAAATCTCAAAAGTTCGGCGGTCTGCCAGCGGTGACATCAATCTTACAAATATGAAAATAAATTTAAGATATGAAAATAAAAATATACAATAACAATTAACAAAATGAAAAAAAGTTATTATTTAAGGTAATTTCGAGGACGATTTTTTTTAAGGTGTGAGGAATGTAAGGTCCCAAAATTTTATTTTCTTAAGTAGGATGATGTGGCCCATTTAAGGTTACGAAAGTTCAAACCATAAGTTATTAAAAAAGGCCAATACTAGTTTGATGTGTTTCAAATAATTTAAATCTCATGAAAGCTCATAAGTGGCCATGTGTTTTCTTTAAAATATAAATTTTTTAAATAAAGTAGGATGTAATTTAGTGTTTCCCAAAGATTGGACCAGACCGTGAAAATTTATTTTATGGATAGTAAATATTTTTAAGATTAGATTTTGCGTACGCGTTATTTCTCAAAATGATCGAAGTATAGGTAAAATATAGTCTATTAAGTTCTAATTAAGGATTTATGTTGTCCTCTTACTTTGTTAACTTGATAAAGTTTAGGGATCAAGAATGAGAATTTAAATTTAAAAACTCAATTCATTTCATTTCCCTCAAATCATACTCACACACATTTTCATAGCTTGGTTGAATAGTCAAGGCATTAAATCTCATAATTGGTAGGCTGAAATGTTGCACTAAACCTCAAATTATATACATATACATTTAACTTTTGTACACACACGGATTATATAAGGAATGAAACTACAATTAACCCATTTTAAATTCTCTTTAATTGGCAAGTGATGAATGCAACTGTTTTCTTACCTTTCATTTCCGAACTATTCATACTTTCTAATATATGTGACATTTGTACATTGAAATATATACACTTTGAACAAAAAAAAAATCAAGTAAGGGAAAGAAAAGTGAAGCAGATTATTTAAAGGCATTGGTTGCATTCAGAAAGTAATATTTACGTCCAACTTCATTGATTTAAAAGCTTCAAACGACAGTAGGTAGATGTGCAAGTGATTATTTCGTTTTTAAATTATGATTTTTCGTAAAAAATTTGAATGAATTGGTACTTCCGAGTACGATGTTTCGGCACTACTATAGTTTGAATAATCATTCTCCGGCTCTACGTGTTATGATAAATCTATAGAAATCGGATTTTGTCGGAAACCCCTCTACGTGTGCGATATGAATCTACAATTCGAATTTTTTAATTTGATAACGAAATGAATCGATGATATCTATTGAGTCTCAAACTCATTGAATAATTCTCTCCCTACATGTTGATTTGTTTTATTTGGGGCGTGGCTGATGCAACACTCTACGGAGAAGTCGGTGATTTAATGTTTTTAATTCGATTATGGAAAAAAAAAGTGTTAGCGATTTAATGTTACTGTTTGTTTAAAATTTCAGCTAATGCAGGATCTTTAAAAAAATTTGTAACTCAACCTTTACTTGAAATTTTTGGACAAAACCAGTAGAGTTTGATAGCCTCGTGGATTAACTACTGAATAAGTTGAAATCATGTCGATCCGATATCTGTAGAATTTTATATATCACTTTAAGTAAACTGTGATGGGTTACCTTCCAAACCATCTCGCTGCGTGAGTTTTGAAAAATATTTTAATACCGCATATGTTGTCGACAGAAGCTGATTTTTGGACATGTTATATGATAAAGAGTTTCCTACTTTAATATAAAATTTCATGAAGTTTCGGAGTCGATAATTATGTAAAAGAATTTATTTTTGACAATTGTTGTTTGAGATAGAAAGCAAAATAGCAACATTTACTTTTATTTTCTGCCTATAATTTCACGTTAATAAAGGATACTTGCATGTAAAACATTCTAAAGATTTTTTTTTTTTTTAATACGTTTCTAGTATTGAATTATGTTGTTTTTAAAAAATCAAATAAACTTCTTTACCTAGTTTTTTGTGTGGATGCCATTGTTTATGTAAACAGTAGAATTTGCACAGACTTTGTTCAAATTTTAGTATCATTTTACTATTTTTGCTGCTGCCCAAAAGTGACTTTATTTCTAAGAAATTATTAGATAATTTCTTAATATGAAATGATGATTAAGAATTAAATAATTCTCGAAACAAATTTTTAAATTAAATCTTTATACTTTCCGCTAAAAGTATAGTTAATTATCAAGTTTAGGGCTAAAGTACAGTTAATCTAGTGACGTTTTGATTCATGCAGGTCAGACAATTAACAGAACGAAAAAAGTTAATATTTTTCAAATTAAATTGAAGACCCAACTTGTTCTGTTCATCTATTGATGAATTAGACATATTTTTTGTTAGTGTTTTCGACGATGATATATTCATATGTGATGTTTCTAGCATATATATAGAAAGTCATTGATATGTTAGTTTAGTAATTTATTTATCATACAACACGTCTTTATCAAGAATGTGATTATGCTCATATACCAATATGATACAACGACATATGCTAATTATAATTAACACTCTAAAATTTGTTAAATACCGGAAATTTGATAAATATGAAAACAAATTCTCAAATAATTTTATTTAATATAAAAATCACTTAAAGACCAAGACAAAGTGGTAGTGGTTGTTGTTCATCATTATATATTAAAAGAGGCGAAGCAAAGGTCACACGTGTCGTCATTTCCCATCGTCGTTAAAAATCCCCTTTTAAAAAAAAATTCTCAAAAATTCCCACACCGCCGTCCTACTTCTCCATTATCTCACGCAACCAACCACTCATCCTCCATTTTCCCACGCAACCTCTCATTGAACTACCTCAGGTTTGGATTATATTTTCGGGTTTTGGGTTGTTACGGTTTCGTTTTTTCTCCCTTCTCTCTACATGCTGCTCTAATTTTTTCACCCAACCTTGTTTTTCAGGATTCAAAGTTTTCGACGTCTGAGATTGAGAAATTGATTGCTCAAAATAGTGATTGAAATAAGGTATTTTAATGCCAATTGTTTTTCAATAGTTTTCAATTTTTTGCTGTAAATGTATTTTCTATTACCATCAATCTATTGCCATTGTTAAACTCAATTTAACTACGTATTTACTAAGAAATTATTAGATAATTTCTTTATATGAAATGATGATTAAGAATTAAATAATTCTCGAAACAAATTTTTAAATTAAATCTTTATACTTTCCACTAAAAGTATAGTTAATTATCAAGTTTACGGCTAAAGTACAGTTAATCTAGTGACGTTTTGATTCATGCAGGTCAAACAATTAACAGAACGAAAAAAGTTAATATTTTTCAAATTAAATTGAAGACCCAACTTGTTCTGTTCATCTATTGATGAATTAGACATATTTTCTGTTAGTGTTTTCGACGATGATATATTCATATGTGATGTTTCTAGCATATATATAAAAAGTCATTGATATGTTAGTTTAGTAATTTATTTATCATACAACACGTCTTTATCCAGAATGTGATTATGCTCATATACCAATATGATGCAACGATATATGCTAATTATAATTAACACTCTAAAATTTGTTTAATACCGGGAATTTGATAAATATGAAAACAAATTCTCAAATAATTTTATTTAATATAAAAATCACTTAAAGGCCAAGACAAAGTGGTAGTGGTTGTTGTTCATCACTATATAGTAAAAGAGGCGAAGCAAAGGTCACACGTGTCGCCATTTCCCATCGTCGTCAAAAATCCCCTTTTAAAAAAAAAAAATTCTCAAAAATTCTCACACAGCCGTCCTGCTTCTCCATTATCTCACGCAACCAACCACTCATCCTCCATTTTCCTCCATTTTCCCACGCAACCTCTCATTGGACTACCTCAGGTTTGGATTATATTTTCGGGTTTTAGGTTGTTACGGTTTCATTTTTTCTCCCTTCTCTCTACATGCTGCTCTAATTTTTTCACCCAACCTTGTTTTTCAGGATTCAAAGTTTTTGACGTCTGAGATTAAGAAATTGATTGCTCAAAATAGTGATTGAAATAAGGTATTTTAATGCCAATTGTTTTTCAATAGTTTTCAATTTTTTGCTGTAAATGTATTTTCTATTACCATCAATCTATTGCCATTCTTAAACTCAATTTAACTACGTATTTTTTTTGGATTTTTAGTTAATTTAATTGGTGATTTTTGAAATTGAATTTTACCGGCATGTTTGACTTGTTTACTTTGGATCTGATTTCTCAGCATGGAGTTTCACTTTCTTCTTATCTTTGCTTCATCTCTTTCGCAGTCAAAATCAAATCAGGTGCTTCTTCTCTTAGATTAATAAGAAATTTATTTTTACGAGGAAATAATAATTCTTGAAACGAAGAAATTGAGTTCAATTTTGATCCATCTACTTGGGTTTGTTCTGTTTCTCTAAATGTAGTTTATTTACTCTGTAGTGCTGAGTATTTTTTTTGTGGTATTCGTTCTTTAAATAATAATTAATTGATGATTTGGAGTGAAGACAAGAAATAAAGAAAAATGTTGAATATTTATTCAATAGAAATTTTGGTTGATCCTTTTATGTGACTTTTTGGGTGTTTTCATAAGATCAGGACCCATTAAATTTTTATCAAGTTAGAACTTTCTTATGTTATACTATGAAGTTATGAAATGCTTAGTTAATTAAGTTTTTTTTTTTGGATAGTTTGGATTATTAGATTTGCAGTGCCGAGAACCAAGTTAATGTTTTGTTTTAACAACTTTCACTCATCTCAACTGGATTTTTAGCAATAAACCAATTGTGTGAAAGAATACTTATGTGCCCGTATGTGTACATTAGACATGTCTAAATTATTGTTATCTTTCAACACTTATTCATGTGAATTAACCTGTTTCAACTTAATGTGCTACAGGGTATTGAGCATTCTATTTCAAGGTAACATTTTCTGTCACTTGATGGAAGTTCTTTCTTGTTAATTCCTTACAAGATCACTTATTTTTTGGTTTCCAATCATTTTTAGATGTTCCTTTTGGACGAAGGCATTCCTCCATGCCTTCGTCCAAGCGGATGGAGGCAATTACTTTTATATGATATGTTTCAACTTTCAATTGCAAATTACCAAAAATAAAAAAAGAAAAAAAAAAGAAATAAATAAATAGAAAAAAGAAAAAGCCGAAGAAAAAGAAAAAGAAAGAATATAAACTGGTTAACATAAAGACCCTTTTGTCTTCTGCTATTTTTTTCTTTTCTTTTGTTACGTACTCTTTGATGTACATATCATTGTATGATGTTCTTATTGTAATTTTCCTGTTTGTTCAGAATTATAGTTCTCTTGGTGCTATTGAACCTGCCAAGGACATTTTAGAGAGGGACCGCAATGTCATTGATGCATCTTGGGTTTCTGAGATTGATAGAGCAATGAAGAAGTATTCTGATAATCTGATGCATGCAATGGACGGTGTTAGTGCACGACTATCCCAATTGGAGACAATGACCCGCAACCTTGAAAATTATGTGGATGATCTGAAGGTGTCTGTTGGAAACAATCATGGAAGCACTGATGGAAAATTAAGACAGCTGAAGAATATTCTCAGAGAGGTACTCTTTGCTTTGCCTGTATATTTAAGATTGATGATGAGTTAGAAGATGAATTCTCTATACTGTCACTTTAATATGTAATTGGCAATCTTTCCATGTCTATTTTATGGACAATGAAGTTTATTGGCTCATTTATTTTACAATCTTTTGCTATTGCAATCATTTGTGTGGTCTTCTTGTCTGAAACTTAAATGTTAGTCAATTAAATAATGTAAGTGACCAAAATGTTCACACGATAATTCATTTTTTATATGGATTATGAAGATTTTGTTGGCTTATTTAAGTTGAAAAAAATGTTATTGACAGCATTGTTATAAAAAAAAAAAATTACACGAAGGCACATTGAAGCACCTCCGTGCGCACACAGAGGCACACCGTGTGCCTCCATGCACGCACCGCACACGGAGGCACCTCCGTGCGCGTAATTGGCAATCTTTTCATGTCTATTTTATGGACAAGGAAGTTTATTGGCTCATATTTATTTTACAATCTTTTGCTATTGCAATCATTTGTGTGGTTAATGTATGTAACCAAAATTTTTATACGATAATTCATTTTTATATGGATTGTGAAGATTTCGTTGACTTATTTAAGTTGAAAAAAATGTTATTGGAAGCATTGTTATAAAAAAAAAAAAAAAAAAGAGGAAGTTTGAGCTGTTGATTTCTACATATTCTACAATCACCACACATGATACAGCTCTTTTCCTTGGACTGAATGCCAATGATGCTGCAAACTGTAACCTCTCACCCTTTTTCATATGGCTTATAACACTAATTTACATTTAAAGCATGATACTTGTTTTGATGTTGCAAGGTGAATAATGAATATATTCCTATCGAGAATGAAAACTTTGTAAATACTAAATCATGACTACCTTATTATTTAGTTTTTGGATTGGTGGGGCTCGGTGGGGTGGAAGAATTGGATGAAGTAATTTTATAACGTTGATTGATGATGAGATAAAATGTAATCATCATTTTTCCCATATCTGTAGATATGTAATTTTTATTTTTAAAACTAACATTTCACCATAAATAAATCAATAGCTGACTTGTGGATAATAATAATAATAATAATTAACAATGTAATTAGTATGGTAAAAAAAAAATCAAACTGTATCTGGTTAATATATAATGCTTGTTTCTTGTAATCCTTGGTAAAGAGAAAACAAGAAGGAGAGACAAAATGAAAAAATGTTATTAGTAGCATTGTATAAATAAAAAAAAATCGTACACTGGTGTTCCGGAGACACCTCCATCCAGGATGGAGGCATTAAGTTTGCCTCCATCCACTTTGACAGAGGCATAAGATGCCTCCGTCCAAGTAATGGAGGCATGGACGGAGGCAATGGAGGCAAACCATGCCTCCGTCCAAGTGGATGGAGGCAAACCATGCCTCCATCCACTTGGATGGAGGCACGGCGATGTCTCCATCCTGGATGGAGGTGTCCCTGCGCGCTCGCGGAGAAACACCCGTGTGCCTCGCCTCCATGCACAATTTTTTTTTTTATTACTACTAATAACATTCTTTTCTTTTGTCTTGATGTAAGTTTCCTTCTTATCTTCTCTTTATCCATTCCACATGTTATTTTTTTGTCATAACATTTATGTAGGATTTCGTGTAATTATTTCTTCCTTTTGGCTTAATATATCCCCTTTATGTATGTTTTTGAAGTGCTCCAACTGGAAGGAAAATAAAAGAGGTGGCCTAGGAGGACTAAACAAACTATGTGGTGTTTCTCCTGAACTACAAACCATCTAAGGGCAACAGACTCTACCAAGGACTGAGGCTTGGCCACCTATTTTCTTTTCTTCATTATTCATCCCACTTAAGATGTTTAAAAAATGTACAAGAGTAACACAGCTCTATTCTCTCTGAAATTTCCTATGTCCTAGGAAGATTTGCAACGGGGTATATTCCAGCANTTGACCTATAAAAACATATTTGTTAGAAACTTACTTATTACTTAAAATTAAATGGTTTAAGCTTTGCCAAACATGCCATGAGAAGTGATGCTAGAGGATTTGATTTTAAGAATGTCATGTTCGAACGAAGATATAAAATATTTTTTTTTTTCGATTTTGATATTTACATGCATATGCACATGCACGTGAATATGTTAAGTGAGTTGTGAAATCGAACTTAGTGGGCAGTATGGAAGTTTTGTTCCTGCTCATTGGGGGCAGAAGATTAGCTTGGGGGAAATGATACAACTGGAACATTAGCTGGAGGTAGATAAAATAATAATTTTTCTTTAAAGAAGAAGTCTGCAAGAGATACGATCTCTCTGTGACACATGTACTTGATGAATATCTTTCATATTTACAAATAAATTTTTCTAAAATTTACATATATTTATTTTCAATATTAAACAACTAACGTGCAACGCACGTTAACCACACTAGTGTTTCAAAAAAATCCTAATTACCAAAGTTCAATATAATTGCACTTATGCTAATGTTTCATCATCAGGGGATTTTCATTAATAATTTAGTGAGTTTAATAAATAATAAAACAACTAAATAAAAATCATAAAATTAAAAATATTAGAAATATAAATCGTCAAACTAAAGATGAGTCACATTTGTAGAAAGAGATTTGGCATATAGATGTCCGCCAAAGATGGCTCCACAAATTCATAAATATGAATAAAAAATTAATGCATGTTTACATGAATATGACGAGAAAATAACAATGTTGGGATGCCACGTGTTTAGGACGTCTAAAATGCATGTATATATATACTATTAAAATGATTCGTAATAATAGATAAATCTAAAAGTAGAAATTTCATACAATTAAATCTATGATATTGAAAAGTTAAATTGAGCTTAACTCATCGTAAAGAAAAAAAATTCACAACACTAATTAACTTACAAGTAGCAGTTCATCACGTAGATTGACATTATTTAAAGAATTAAAAAATAAAAATAGAGAGAAAAAAGAACTACATTATCTTTTTAGAAGTTCTAGCCTACAACAAATTGCTTTCATTGACAGTAATTCTTACCTTTAATCATAACAAATTGTTTTCATTAATAATAGTTCTATAATGAAAAATGATGGTTTTTTATAATTATAATGATTTTAATTAGAGCGTGTTCGGTAGAGATTAAAATCGGATTAAAATTGAAAAATTAGCCGTTATTGTTGACTTTTATTAGATGAGTAGCACCCAATAACGATTATATTTTCAATTTTAATTAGATTTTAATAACTCCCAAACATGCATTTATATTTATTACGTAGTGTATATACTAACGCAAAGTAGCCATGCACCTCCCCTCCATCTATTTTCATTAATGATTAATTATAAAAATAGACATTTCTTAATCCTTTTCGCATGCTCTCAATTGGCAGGAAATTCAAAATGTAGCCTCAACAGACTTTCTCCATCTTCCGCCATTGTATGTTATCCATGTATATTGGAATTTTTAATATGTTAATATGGTGTGTTGATGGTTAAGAATTTCAACATATACTATAATGTTATAATAATTTATTCATTTTCATACAATGATAAGAATATAGAGAAAAATAATTGAAAATTTAAGTGTGAAAAAATGCAAAAATTATAAATGTCTACTACAGTTATAATGTTGTATAGTTAATAAAAAAATGTAGTTGGTATATAATTACTATATCATTTGATATTCTGTTTTTATCTAAATTTAGGTATCATGGAGATTCATATGTAACTATCATTTAAAATAACTTTTAAATAAGAGTAAATGTAACATAATTTTTTTAATTAAATTATATAGTAACATTTTGTATGCATTAATTTTATTACATTAACCATATTATTTACTTGTTAGGATACGCTTGAAACAATAAAATGAAACGACCATTTAAATAAGGGAATATAGATGTTATTTTTTAAAACTGACTAACTCAACCGAGGGAAGAAATTTAAGTTATATTTTTATAATAAAAATTAATATATTAAAATGATTAATTTAAGGAATTATTGAAAAAATGAAAAGAAAAGATTTTTTTTAAAATTTCGTGTTGAATAAATTTTATTAATTAATTATTAACAAAATTAAAATTAAATAAGAGTATATTAGGTATATAGCTAAATATGTAATGGTAAATTGGGTATTCAAAAGTTTAAATAAAGGTATATTGGACATGTAGTTAAATATGCAAGGAATTAATGTTATTAATTAATTATTATCAAAACTAAAATTAAATAAGAGCATATTAGGTACACAGCTAAACATGTAAGGGTAAATTGGGTGTTCAAAAGTTTCTCCACAATCACTTTGAATATATTGTAAATTTGTTAAGTTTAATTAATCCAAGGTTTAGTATTAAGTATTAAATTTTAATTTATTACAATATTATTCCACCATATTCGAATAAAATAGACTTTGTAATGCACCGAATTTATTTGAAATTTGGGGCGTTACACGGCACGATCCTTGTACTGACTCTACTCTTAGTTGCAAACACGAAATACATACCAAATTGCACTGCAAATCAGAATCTTCGGTAAAGTAAGATTTAATGATACATTTATATCTCGTTTTTACATTTTTCATTTCCATTTGAGAAATTTTTTCCTAAACACGTTATTATAATTTTTACTAATAACGTTGTGTTTCGTGAAAAAAATGGCTAACGTGATTTACAAAACCAAGATCGAGAAAGTCAAGCAAAAATGAAAAGACGCCGAAAAGTAAAAACAAAAAATTAGATTGAACAAATGTTTCTAAGATTATAACAAGAGGTTTGTTTCGACTTCACAAATGCCACGATAAGAACAATAAGAATTCTCTTAACTATACATCCCTGCTAGAGATTAAAAAAAAAAAAAGCTGGATTTAATTAGGTGACTTTGACATCCTTTAACTTGTCTGCATATATAGTTTTGATGGGGTTTTCCCCCTCCAATGTTGGACAAAAAGATTCACAAGTGCTAATGTTCCGGCCGGTCTTTGTCTTTCTTATAGGGTTCATATCTT